GACAGCTCTGAATATTAGGAAACAGTTGTTGCAGAAACTCCATTTTAATCCCTCGAGCATTCACCAAAGTCCTATTTATTTATTTATTTATTTATCTATTTATTTATTTATTTTTTATTAGTGAAACACCATGAGGTACAGTTATAGACTTACAAATTTTTGTGCTTGGGTTTCAGTTATACAATGATCAAGTACCCATCCCTCCACCAGCGCCCATCCTCCACCAACACGGGTCCCAGCATCCCTCCCACCCCCCATCCCCCGCAATCCCACCCTGCCTCTGTGGCAGGGCATTCCCTTTTGTTCTCTCTCTCTGCTTTTGGGTCCTGTGGTTTGCAAGAGAGGCACTGAGTGGCAATCATGTTTGGTCTATAGTCTACTTTCAGCATGCTTCTCCCACCCTGGGAGGATCCTCCCAACACCCTTTATTTGGTGCTCTCTTCTCTATCTGAGCTCCCTTTTCCCCTAGCACATGTGGCTGGCCTCCAAGTCATGGAGCAAAATTCCTGGTACTAATCTCAGCCACTCCTGGGTGTTAGTCTCCCATTTTGTTGCTTTATGTTCCCCAGATGAATGCAATCTTTCTGTTTCTATCCCACTCTTTCTGACTCATTTCGCTTAATATGATACTTTCACTCTAAAACAATCACTCACTTATCACTCTAAAACAATATGAAACATATTTCCTCCCTTGTCTCCTTGAAATTTTTTCCTTGTCTAAGTGAAGCTCTTGTACCACTACCACCTCACAAGCCCCTACCCGCACCATGTACCCATTCTGCAGCCATTCTTGTCCTTTGCTCAAATCTCCAAGCCCTTCTGTGTCTTATCAGCTCTATAAAATGTGGTGCCTATGACCAAACTGTGAGTAGTCAAATATCACTGTGCATATGATCTGAACAGAGTCAAACAAATAGTTCTTAAAATATGAATTTCATTTACTTGTTAGCAGTACCAAGTTCTAAGAGTGTGGTTTGCCAGTTTCAGAATTTTTTAACTTATGAACACTGAAAACCATAAAGGAAGGGAATAAAATATCTTGTTAAGTCTGCTAACTCATAAAAATAATGCTAGGTGTTAAGAAAAAAAAACTTTAGTAGCCTAAAGTCATTTTCTTCTATATTTTATTTTTAATAATTTTTTTGTTTTGTTTTATTTTGGGATTCCACCTGCCAGTGCTCCGGACTGCACACAGGGATTACTTGTAGCAGGTTCATAAGACCATATGGGATGCTGGGAATTGAACCCGGGAGGACAACATGCAAGGCAAACACCCTTCCCAGTGCACTATCGCTAAGGCCCCGTTATCGTGAATAATTTTGAATTGAAAATATTTCAAATATGCTGCAATAAAAGAATAATTCATGCAATTACCATCAATATATAACAGATGATACTTTATTTTACCATTCTTTATTTCTGTAGCACTGTAGCACCGTCCTCCCATTGTTCATCGATTTGCTCGAGCGTGCACCAGTAACGTCTCACAACAAATTGTGAGACTTGTTGTTACTGTTTTTGGCATATCGAATACGTCACAGGGAGCTTGCCAGGGTTGGCCGTGTGGGCAAGACACTCTAGGAAGCTTGCCAGGCTCTCTGAGAGGGCAAGGAGGAATCGAACCCGGGTTGGCCCGATCGGCTGCATGCAAGGCAAATGCCCTACCCGCTGTGCTATAAAATATTATGAGTATCATACTCTAATGTTAAATTCCCCCTCTTCATATCTGCTGTTCTTACTCTATTTTTTGGGAGAGTGGGGATTTCCCAGCAATGATGGGGGACTACTAGGGCTATACCATGACAGTAAGGAGAACTGAAGACTAGGACCCCCATATGGCCAGGCGTGCACTGCAGTATATACACACACACATATATTTTTCCCCCAGGCATTCATTCTAGTATATATACGCACTTATATATTCTCATCCAGAATACATTCCAGTATATACAGACACATAACTTATTCCCCTCTCTATACTTTTTGTACATGTGTATACCATTGTTTATTATGTTTAGAAATTTATAAAAATGGCATATAATATATTCTTCTGGGATGTAATTTTTCCATCCAAAAGTAGGTTTGGGTTATATCTGTGCTGGAAAGTGTAGTTAGATTTAACTTCTGAGTTTACAGCATAAGATTTCACTATATGAATATTCAATATTTTATTTTATTTTTGAATATGCAATATTTTAGGCACCAATTCCCCTATTAATAGGTATTTGGGTTGTTTCTAGTTTTTCACTATTTCTAGTAATGCTTAAGGCAAATGCCCTATGCGCTGTGCTATAAAATATTATGAGTATCATACTCCAATGTTAAATTCCAGCTTCCTTGTGCACATGTTAGGAGTTTTTGAAAAATATGTACATAGGGGCCAGGAAAAAAGTACAGGGGGATAGCAGTACAGATGTTTTAGGTGCCAAAGACCAAAACTAGAAACAACCGAAATGTACATGTGCATGTACAAGCCTCTGAGCATCATGCTTGACATATGCATGCCTTATATGCAGCCAGCCTGGGTTCAACATCCCTAGAATTTCATATGGTCCCCTGAGCACCACCAAGAGTAATTACTGAGTGCAGAGCTACAAGTAAGCCCTAAGCATTATCATTTGTGGCCCAACCCACCCCCACACCCCCTCTCCCCCTAAAAAAGGAAAGCAATCTGTGGTCAAGGGAGATCTTTCAAAGGATTGGGGCATGTCCTTTGCATGCATGAACTAAGTTTCGATCCTGAGTACCTATGGTCCTTGAACACTATTAGGTATGGCAAAAACAGATAAATAAAACAGGGGCCAGAGAGATTTGACAGGGGTTAAGATATTTGCTTTGCACACAGCTGACTATGGTTTGATCCTCGGCAGAATATATGGTCCCACAAAACACTGCCAGGAGTGATCCCTGAGCACAGATCGAGAAGTAAGTCCTGGGCATCACCAGGTTTGGCCCAAACCCTGTCACCCATCCAAAAAATAAGAGACAATTTGTATTTGGGGCAATACCTTTGACTGGTACTGGTGCTCTCAATTCTCAATTCAGCAAGAGTAAACTACTCAAGGATAGAATTTGGACTTAATGTATGAGGCATAGTATAATATATGCATGTATTTCAAGCTACAACTTTTTACACTTTCTCTTCCGCTTTCTTTTGCACATAGGTCAGCTACAAATCTTTCACATTATGGCCAATTAAGTCCAGAGATTAAATAAAAAACAAAAACATGAGGCAAGGTAAATTTAACATGTTAGAATTACCCTGAGCTATGCCCACCCCATGTTTCCGTGCCACAGAGTTGATCACGTAGACTCCTTACTTAAAGTAAAGGTAAAGGTAAAGGCCCTCCCGTTGATCGTCGATTTGCTCAAGCGGGCCCAGTAACGTCTCCATTGGAGACTTTGTTGTTACTGTGTCTGGCATATCGAATACTCTCGGTAGCTTGCCGGGCTCTCCGAGAGGGGCAGAGGAATCGAACTCGGGTCGGCCATGTTGGCCGCTTGTAAGGCGAACGCCCTACCGCTGTGCTAAAGTAGCAAAACATTATTACCTATTTAAGAAGAATTCTACTATTTGAGAATCACTAATATGAGGTATGATATATACGAGGTATGAACATTTTTTGTAAGATTATGTAGCTTTATAAATGTTATTAAAAGCTTTAACATTACATTTCATCATACATATCAATATGTACATATATAACGATATAACTATATATATATAATACACTAAATATTTCTTCTATAAACCACTATGTGTGGGACAAACCCAAAGGGAATTAACCTATGATCATACACTTCAAACAAAATAAACCTTACTTCATCAAAAGGCTCAAGTCACTACAAAATGTCTTTTAAATAAGTACTGCAATTGCAGCACAGAACTTTACTTTAAATCAGTATCCACTAATAATTATTTGTCCCAGTCTAAAGAGACCACATTAACTAAATTCACCTCACAATTAGTATGCCTTCCAATTACAGGTGTTTTCACTTTGTACGTGGTATCATAACTGTAGTTTTGATAAATTTAATATATAGGGTTTTTTCTCTTTCATAAAATACATATTAACCTATCAGGCATCTTTTGTTGCATTAAAAATGTCAAAATCTACTCAAAAAATTTAAAGCAAAAAAAGTTTAAAAGTTACACCTTTTCCCAGTTTCTCTAACAGAGCAGTAGGTTGGAGATTAAAAGAGGTCCCAGGGTGGAGGGCTGGGAAGATACGAAGAAAAGATTTAATGACAAACTAAAAATCTCTACGAATTATTTGAGACAAACAGTGACATTTGAATATGGAATATTATATATAACAAAGAAGCACCATTACTTTTAGAGACAATAATGAAAAGAAAGTAACTGCTTATAGTCTTATCAGTTAGAAGCAGTCATTGAAGCATGAGTCTAGCATTTAATTTTTAAATCCTCCAGTTTGAAAAAGAAATAGAAAAAAATCATAAAATACAGTTTCTGAGACTCTTTAATGCACACGAAGGAGTTGCATTTCTTTCCTCTCTCTTTTTGTTCTATAAATGTCACAGCAGCATTAAGGGGCTAGCGATTACTCCCACTCCCAGTGATACTCAGCTTACTGTGAGTGTCTAGTGGTTCAGTGCTAATTTGAGCAATGTGGTGCCCAGTCAAGCCCAGCACAGCTTGAAGCCACCTGAGCCTTACCCCAAGGTTAAATCTGGTGGCATTTGTGAGGGCCATATAGTGCAAGGGATTAAATTTAGGACTTCCTGCATGCAACACACATGCTTCAGCCCTTTGAATAATTTCCCTGACCCCTCCTCTATTTTTAACATATGAAAAGTTCCTAGAATGATTTTAGATTTAGATATAGTTCTGTTCTGTTTTGCTTTAATTGGAAAACAAGAATCAATAAATATTGACAGCTGAATATATTTAAGAATAATGCTAGCAGTAATGCTTGACTCACGTTTTACCTAATCTTCATAAAAGTGATTATACTGTACAGTTAAATATCCCTCACCTTTTCCTTTGTTCTCAGCTCATCAAACATTTGTTGTATTTCTAATTTCCAGTCATCTTGCATGGAATGAAAAGATTCTTGAGGCAGTTCAGTCATAACTGCCCCTTCTATAGCTGTTAACTGTTCAAGAATCAAGGCAAATGATGGACGAATATGAGGGTCCTGTTGCCAGCATTCTAAAATAAACAAGAATCACATCAGTCTCACAGTTTAGACCATGAGATTATGTTAAGAATCTCTGCTGAAGAACTGGAACATGTAATAACAATGAGTTTTGAATCTGCTATTTATATCATGTTATGTCACCAACATATGTAATAATTCTTGGTAGACAAAACTCTTGATTTCTCACATGACACTATTATGTGGATATGTGATTTCTATGTCTAAGCATGAACTCTGTGCTTCAGAGAACTGAAATGTGTGGAGCAGATTATTCACTGAGATAGGTTCTATAAACTTAAGCCCAAGAAAACAAAGTTTTCAAAATGTTATCATCACAAGAGAAATTCTAGGAAATAACCCAATAATAAACTAACAAGCTGCACAAAAATAATCATATTTTAAATATAAGGATAAGATAAATAAAGGTCATGATAAAACCATGCCAATTAAGATGTTTAAATACTTTTGTCTACTAGGATGAACTTAAAATAACAGATCTGAAGCTAATTCAATATTGTCTTTGAACTCTACTGGTGTACTTGATGACAGCTTTATTACCACTGAGTTGAATTTAATACACATCAGTAACTGATAAAACTGGATGGTTTTTAAGTAAAATAAGTTTATAAAATCTTTATCCAACATCTTAATCCAAAAAGCTATTCTAATTCTTAAAACAGTAGAATTACTTAAAGGTGTTTGAAAAATGGAATCAGAGAAATTACTCTTTTGACTAAGAAAACAGCAATGTACTAACAAAGTAAGCCCCCTTGCCCCCTGACAGACACAAAATACAAGTGCACAAATACCTTTCATGAGCTTGGCAAAAGGCTCAGGACAGGTGGATGGAATGGGCAAAGTGAGCTTATTGACCGCTACTCCATAAGCCACAGCTAGACCATCGATGCCTCGATAGGGGACTTCCCCAGTCAGCAGTTCCCAAAGCAGTACTCCATAGCTAGAAAGCAAAGTTCCATCAAGTTAAATCAGCAAAAGGGTGGCTTGTCCTTAGGACACAATTGGTGTGATATACCTACCAGAGCCTTCTTCCTACACATCTTCAACATGGTTTTTCAAAAGAAAAAACCCTTGTGGCCCTTACTTCAAGGAGAGAGGATACTTCTTCCTGTTAACTGTCCAACATATTCACATTCCTTCCCAGCAATCACTTACAGACTTTTTTACAGGAATTAAAAGTATTAAATGAAGAGTTGATTCTTCCAGCAGCATATAATTAAGCAGATCCCAGAACCAAGTAACATTTTGAAGAAAATGTGAAAATGTGGTTAGTTTAATATTTCTCCTTATATCTCTTTTTTCTTTTTTTTTTTTGGTGGGGAGGTTGTAGTTCTTCAAATGATTAATTTGATAATATTACATGACCCAGCAACTTAACATCAAGATATGTACTCAAGAGAACTGCAAACATTTCCAAAGAGACTCTTCTTTGGATTACAAAACTATTCTAAAATTATTTTGGAATAATAATTATATAATTCTATTAACATTATTAAAATAACTTCTATACTTTAAATGGACAAATGGTATGATTATAAATTATACCTCAACAAAGCTACCAAAAACAACAAAAATCTGGAACATTTGTTATTTATTTATTTATTTATTTATTTATCTGCTTTTTTGGGTCACACCCGGCAATGCACAGGGAATTATTCCTGGCAGTGTTCGGGGGACCATATGGGATGATGGGAATTGAATCCGGGTAGGCCGCATGCAAGGCAAATGCCCTACCTGCTCTGCTATCACTCCAGCCCCAAAATCTGGAACTTTTGAATAAAATGTTTTTATTTTTTATTTTCTTCCTCCCTATTCATGTTGTTTACCTCTGTCCATTCCTTTCTCCTAACACAACCTTAGTACCATTATAAGTCTGTCTTCTCTTTTTTTCATTTTGTCTGTACATCATTTATATCCTTTTGTTACATACAAAATGCATTCAATATTTGTCTTATAATTTTAGTTTATTTATTCCATTAAGATCCCTTCCATTTTGTTGCAAAAAAGCAGTATTTCATCTTTTTTGGCATATCTGGAAGAATTCCATCATAGAAATGTACCACCTTATCTTTTGTCAGTTATTCACAGGGCCCTTTCTTTGCTACTATATTATACAATTAAGCTATAAAAAATGTTTCAATAAACACTAGGGCTGCTATAAATTTTTCTGTTAATGTTTTCATATTACTTAGAAAAATATCAAAAGTCAAGTTGCTTGTCACCCTACTTTTAGTGTCTTAAGAAAGTTCATTAATGTTTTCCAAAATGGTTGCATGAATTTATATTCCCATCAACAATACACAAGAGCTTCTTTTTCTCTATACCCTCTCTTTGAATACTGCATCAAATTTGAAATCTTAATATCAGGCACACAAGATTTTATGAGAATTGAATAAAGGCAAATAACCTCTCTGATACACTATAACTACTATACAGCAACTGATATGGATATGAAAAGATACTTATTGCAAAATGAATGAAAAATACAGCTAATCTGAGATCCAGTCAGTGTTTATTTCTTCATTCTCAAACCTGAAACTGTCATAGTTATGATAAAAATTATACTGAAGGAATGGTCTAATTATTTTCCCTTCAAACTCCTTCATTCCATGCAAGTATTCCATCTGTGAATATGGAGGAACCAAAATTCGATGAAAAGTGAAAATTTACTTTTATTTATTGACAGGCCTTACAAAATCGTGCCTCTGCTTGACTCAAATTATATCCAGTTTTGTTAAACTTCGAATATAACAAAAGACTTCTATTAACTGGAAGTGAGATGACAATAAAAACCTGACTACAAAACCATAAAACCTTCCCTCAAAAGGCCTCCAGTCTCACTCTACATGCTCACAGTAATTGGGACTTTTGGACTCATTTAGATGCAAAGATGAAAGCAAGCACTTTCTGCAGACATCTGCTAAAGTAAAAAAGGCAAGGTGCATACCTCCAGATATCGCTTCCCTTAGAAAATAGGGAAGACTTGATCACTTCTGGGGCCATCCAAGCATAGGTGCCTGCCGCACTCATTTTGGTCGTCCTGTGCCATTCTCGAGCTAACCCAAAATCTGTGATCTTCAATGTTTTGTTGCAGACGTCATCGTGCTCTATCTTCTCAAGGAGCAAAACTAGAGAAAAATCAAACATGTATTTTTTTTTCAGTCTTGAAATACTTTATCATTTTTCTTTGACATTTAAAATGCAATCTTCACAACTGGCAGAGTAATGAAGAATTAATTATATTTTGCCATTTTAATGTTCCACCATAGATATCATAACCTTTAGGGAGTAATCTGTACCTGAAGTTATGTTTTTGAAACAAACCACAAATACAGTTTAACACGTATTATGGCTGTTTCTATTCATTACAATATAGATGATTTTTAGGGACAAGGAGCGATAGCACAGCGGTAGGGCGTTTGCCTTGCACGCAGCCAACATGGCCGACCCGAGTTCGATTCCTCCGCCCATCTCGGAGAGCCCGGCAAGCTACCGAGAGTATTTGATATGCCAGACACAGTAACAACAAAGTCTCCAATGGAGACGTTACTGGGCCCGCTCAAGCAAATCGATGATCAACGGGAGGGCCTTTACCTTATATAATAAGTGGTATGGCCGTAGATTATAAATCTGTGAAAGATTTCCAAATTAAAAAATATATGTATAATAGTATCTGGGGGGCCATAGAGATAGTACAATTGGTAGAGCAATACATGTATATATATATGAATATATGAAATATGTGGCACTGTTGCACTGCCCTCCCGTTGTTCATCAATTTGCTCCAGCGGGCACTGTATATGAAATATTTTTTGGACAAGGATTTGGTTCAGTGGCAGAGTTCATGCTTTGCACATATAAAAGGCCCTAGATTTAATTTTTAGCACCACAAAAAATTTTTTAATGATTTCTTCCAGAAAGTTAGATCCTGCTCTAAATGCAGAAAGATCTTCTACTGCATGGTTTACAAAAAATTTCAAATCAATAACATACTGCCATAAATCACAATCAAACATTCTCAACAAATTTGTAAAAATCCTTGTATTTTAAGTGAAAAAATATTTTAAACATGATTGTTTTACAGAAGCTTTTGCAACAAAATGAATGGCTTATAAGTACTGTATCTTCTAACTTATTTCCTCACCTCTTTAAAACCCTGCCTTCCAAATGAAGCTCATTGCTGGGTTTTGAATGCTTAGAAATCTCCCTTCTCATTCCTCTGATACTACACTTCACTTCTGTCTTCACCATATCACACCAGAACTACAATCCTTCTAAACTGAGTGCTGCTTTTCTCTCTTATACTTATACCCATATACTGGTATTAGTGGACATGTCTTCCTACAGCCATGAACATCAAAACCATTATACCTAATTTTAAAAATGACATAAATGGTGACAAGCTGTTATCCCAGATGTGAGTCTGGAAAAGACACAAAATTCACACTAGTGGTTACCAGAGGCTGAGGGAAAGGTTCTCTTGCAAGCTACTCATGAGAACCTGGGGGCTTGAGTGAGGTCTAGGGGTGACTAGGGAAAAACTACAGCAGTTAGAACACATGCCTAGCATGCATCTGACCCAGTTTAATTTCCAGCACTACATGATATCCCCAGATCACCTTCTAATGCAGCCCAAGAAGCCCCTAGAGTGCCGTCAGGTGTGGCCCTGGATATCCACAGTATCAATGCAGTGGCTCAAGAATCCCAGGCATCACAGGGCCCAAGTAGCACCACATCCTGCACCAAATGGCAGAACAGGATGGCCAAGAATTGCCAGTGGAGGCCCCAGACTTTTAAATACAATCTGGGGCGTCCCCCCACCAAAAAAGATAACTTTGGGGGAAAATTCTTTTTCTTAATCATAATGGTGGTTACAGGATTAAACATATTTGTCAAAATGTATTACCCCCTGAGAATGAGTTTTACTCCACGCAAAGAAATTTTCTTTGTGAAATCTTCCAAATACCCCTAAGCAAAGGCACATTCCTACCATGTTCATAAGAACTTTGTCTTTTTTTTCTGGAGGGGGGAGGGAGGAGTATCAGGGATTAAAATCAAGGTCTCGCTTATACAAAACAAATGAGAACTTTGTATTGCAGTTACCCTTATAAAGCACAAGGTACTATAATCATTTGCACTTTGTACTTCTGATCACTTAACTAGACAGTTGAAATTGAAAACCAGAGTGAGAGGAAAAGTATGTAAGAGGGCAAGAAGAGAGTGAAAGTGTGTGAGAATAAAGTGTGTGAGTGTTAGGAGTGGTGAAAAAGTGAATGTGAACAAGAATAAACAAAGTGTCTGAGAAGAAACAGAGTAAATGGAAGAGAAAGTAAGAATATTGTGGGGGAAGGCAAGAGAAGATTGTGGGAAAATAAGAATAGAAAGGGGGGCTCAGAAACCAAAGAAATTCAAAAGATCATCAGAGGCTACTTTGAAAGTCTGTATGCCACGAAACAAGAGAACCTAGAAGAAATGGATAAATTCCTGGATTCCTATAATCTCCCAAAGCTGAATCTAGAAGCTATAGAGTACCTGAATAGACCTATTAACATCAAGGTAATTGAAAATGTAATCAAAAGTCTTCCCAAAAACAAAAGCTCAGGACCAGATGGATTCACTAGCGAATTTTTCCAAACATTTAAAGAAGACCTATTACCAGTTCTTCTCAAGCTTTTCCAGGAAATTGAAAAAACAGAAATCCTCCCAAACAGTTTCAATGAGGCCCATATTTCCCTAATACCAAAAGGAAACAAAGACACCACAAAAAAAGAAAACTACAGGCCTATATCCCTGATGAACATGGATGCAAAGAATCTCAACAAAATACTAGCAAACAGAATTCAACAATTCATTAAAAAGATCATACACCATGACCAAGTGGGATTCATCCCGGGGATGCAAGAATGGTTTAACATTTGGAAATCAACCAACATAATCCATCATACCAACAACAGAAAAGATAAAAATCATATGATCATATCAATAGACACAGAGAAAGCATTTGACAAGATCCAGCACCCCTTTATGATGAAAACCCTCGCCAAATTGGGGATAGAGGGGACTTTCCTCAATATAGTTAAAGCCATCTACCACAAGCCTACAGCAAGCATCATCCTCAATGGGGAAAAACTAAGAGCCTTCCCCTTAAGATCAGGGACCAGACAAGGAAGCCCACTCTCTCCACTGCTGTTCAATATAGTACTGGAAGTACTTGCAATAGCGATTAGACAAGAAAAAGATATTAAGGGCATTCAAGTGGAAAGGAAGAAATCAAGCTCTCACTATTCGCAGATGATATGATACTATACTTAGAGAACCCTAAACCCTCTACCAAAAAACTCCTAGAAACAATAGATCTTTATAGTAAAGTTGCAGGCTATAAAATCAATACCCAAAAGTTCATGGGTTTCCTATATGCAAATAGTGAGAGAGAAGAAAACGACATGAAGAAAACAATCCCGTTCACAACTGTGCCCCAGAAATTCAACTACATAGGAATTAGCTTAACTGAAGAAGTAAAGGACCTGTACAAAGAAAACTACAAAACGCTACTTCAGGAAATAAAAGAGGACACAAAGAAATGGAAAAATATCCCCTGTTCATGGATTGGGAGGATTAACATTGTCAAAATGGCAATACTTCCCAAAGCACTGTAAAATTCAACGTGATCCCTATTAGAATACCCATGACATACTTCAAAGAACTGCAGCAAACACTCCTGAAATTTATATGGAACAATAAGCCCCCACGAATAGCTAAAGCAATTCTTGGGAAAAAGAAAATGGGAGGAATCAACCTCCCTAACTTCAAACTCTACTACAAAGCAGTAATAATTAAAACAGCATGGTACTGGAACAAAGGCAGAACAGCAAACCAATGGAACAGAGTTGAATATACTGACATCGCCCCCCAAACATATGATCACCTAATCTTTGAAGTGGAGTAAGGAAAGCCTTTTTAACAAATGGTGCTGGCAAAACTGGACAGCTACATGCAAAAAAATGGGCTCAGATCTCTACCTAACACCATGTACAAAAGTAAAGATCAAAATGAATTAAAGACCTCAACATCAGACCGGAATCCATAAGGTACATTTTAGACAAAGTTGGCAAAACCCTCCATGACATTGAAGCTAATGGTGCCTTCAAAGATGTCAAGCCACTGGCTAAGCAAGTAAAAACAGAGATAGACAAATAGAACTATCTTAAACTAAGAAGCTTCTGCACCTCAAAAGAAACAGTGACCAAAATACAAAGACAGTCCACAGAATGGGAAAGGATATTCACCAAATACACATCCGACAAGGGACTGATATCAAGGATATACAAAGTACTGGTTGAACTCCACAAGAAGAAAACATCCAACCCTATCAGAAAGTGGGGCGATGAAATGAACAGACACCTCATCAAAGATGAAATTCGAATGGCTAAAAGACACATGAGAAAATGCTCTACATCATAAATCATCAGGGAGATGCAGATCAAAACAACAATGAGATATCACCTCACACCGCAGAGACTGGCCCACATCCACAAGAACAAAAGCAACCGGTGCTGGTACAGATGTGGCGAGAAAGGGACCCTCCTTCACTGCTGGTGGGAATGCCGACTGGATCAGCCCTTCTGGAAAACAGTATGGACGATTCTCAGAAAACTAGAAATTGAGCTCCCATTTGACCCAGCAATTCCACTCCTGGGAATATACCCCAGAGAGGCAAAAAAGTAGAGTCAAAGCGACATCTGCAGTTGTCTGTTCATTGCAGCACTGTTTACAATAGCTAGAATCTGGAAAAAACCTTAGTGCCCAAGAACAGATCACTGGTTAAAGAAGCTTTGGTACATCTAAACAATGGAATGCTATGTAGCTGTCAGAAAGAATGAAGTCATGAAATTTACATACAAGTGGTGCTACATGGAAAGTATCATGCTAAGTGAAATGAGTAGAAAGAGAGAGATAGACATAGAAAGATTGCATTCATCTGGGGAACATAAAGTAACAAAACAGGAGACTAACACCCAAGAATAGCCGAGATAAATACCAGGAGGATTACTCCATGGCTTTGAGGACAACCGCACACGCTGGGGAAAAGGCAGCTCAGATAGAGAAAGGAGCACCAAATAAAGGGTGT